TATTATGCACTCCACAGATTGTATAAAAGAGGTTGACAAAAAGCAAAAACACAATATAAACAAAAAAAAAAAAAAAAGGGGGGGGGGGGGGGGGGGGGGCTATCAGGTGAACGAAAAGGCATGGTATCTGCACAGCTAAAGGACTGACCCTGATGGGGGCAACCCATCTTGCTGCACTGCCTGTTCCAGCATTTCTCCAGTGTTTTCCTATAATATAGGTTTCCCCATTGTCTCAAATATTTGCATTAACTATCGATTTTTCTTTTCTCTGCTGCAATTCCATCAGCCCTGTTAATTTCCCTCCCTCCACTCAAGCACGAGTCGACAGATACACATTCCCAACATATTCAATACAGCGACAGCCTCTCCCACGCACCAATCCCTGACACCGAGCATGTTTTTCTAGTCACCTGGGACGGTCTCGGTGATCCAGAAAATCCCCAGAACTGGCCGCTGTTGAAAAAAGGTTGTGCTTCGATTGCACCCCTGTCCGTGATTTTTGCAGTCTCCTTTGCATCGAGTTCCTTTGGCCCCTCTGATAGCTATGTCTCCGCAGAGTACAGTATTTCTGCGGAGGTCACAAAGCTGGGCGTGGCTCTCTTCATTGCTGGATATGCAGTCGGGCCTCTCGTTTTTGCACCAATGGCAGAGTTATTCGGCAACGTGCCACCTTTGTTGATTGCCCTTATTGGATGTAGAGCGTTTCAGATTCCTTTGGCTCTGGCAAAGAACGCTGTCACGATATTTGTGTCTCGTTTCCTTGCTGGAGTTCTGGATTCTGCTGCACTGGCCGTTGGCTCAGGTCTCTTGGCAGGCTTCTACAGTTCCATCGCTCGTGGCGCCGCAATTGCCGTGACTGCATGCTTCATGAACCTTGGGAGTGTCATTTCCCCAATTGCAGCTGCTTATATCTCGGAGCGGTATGGCTGGCGCTGGACTGCATGGGCCAATCTGATTGTGATTGGTGTATCGTCGGTGATTTCCGGATTCCTTCTATGTGAATCATCTCACAATCGAATCCTTATGCTGCGTGCTGCTCGCCTCCGAGTTGAGACCAAGAACGACAAATTGCGCGCACATTCGGAGCTGCATGCCTTGGATTTAAAGGTCTTGATCAGACTACACTTCACCAAGCCTATTCGCATGTTTGTTCAGGAACCAATTCTTATCCTGATCACCGTGTACTTGACTCTGGTATATGGTACTTTATACCTGTCTTACCAGTTTTTTACCCAAAACTTCCAAAACCGGGGCTGGGGTGCCAGCACTTCGACACTTTGCCTGGCACCCGTTGGAGTCGGTGTCATCACCGCCACTGTCATCATCGCTACATACAGCTTGACCTATTACAAGACCCGTCAAATTGAGCTTTCAAACAGCATGGCACAAGGGGGGAGCATATCATCAGCCAGGCTTTCGCCTGAAATGCGTCTACCTCCAATGATGCTAGGCTCGGTCATTTTGCCCCCGGCACTCCTTTGGTTTGGATGGTCAGGGGATGTGCAGTGGGTATGCCAAATCATCTCATGCTTCTTTGTGGGTTGCTCACTGCAGCTTATTTTCACAACGGGCATCATCTACATTATAGATGTCTATATGGGCCACACAGTTTCGGCTATCTCAATTCACGTGGTAGTGCGAAGTCTAGCATCTGCGACTTTTCCAATGTTCGAGTTGCCCATGTATGACCGTTTGGGAATTAGCTGGTCATCGACCCTGCTAGCCTGCATATCATTTTTGATTATGGCTTGTCCTTTTTCGATGTGGAATTTTGGCGCACGTGTCCGATCGTGGAGCCAGTTCTCTGTGGATGATGAGATGTAGAGCATCTTCTTCTTATGTATCCATTCTGTTCTTGAATCTACTTCCAAGATTTTCATGTTTCCTTCCTTTCTGTCCTGTTTTTGTTTTGTCGGAAGCCAAAAAGGTATAGTTTGCATAGTTTGCATATGCTGTATTTTACAAAGATAGATAGTCACATGACTACTGCACTAATACAAAAAGAGGCAGAATCATGTGATCTGGAGCTGTCTTCACGTGATGTAGTGATGACTAATATTTGGTGGAAAAAGTGGGCATAACCCTAGAAAGACCACAACTCGCCATTTTCAACCACCAATTTACCGTTGACTGGTGCTGTGTTAGAAACTTTAGAAATATGCATGGTTAATGGATCTATTGATAATATTTGATTATATGACAAACTTGGAATGAGCTTGCCAAGTGTAAGCTCAAATTATGGACTTTACCTACTCCGTATACTGCTTGCGTCCCAAACATATGAAATCCTAATTCGGCATCACTTGAGAAGCATCGCTCAAACGAACAGTCTATCAAGACTTTTTTTTTTCTTCCAATATTTTCCAAGGTTTTCATTTATGTCACTGAAATCCCGGAGCAGAGCCAGCGTATCACTCAAACGGCCGTTGAGACACAGACCTTGGACCCTTGCTGTTGACGCTCAACATCAAAACAACTTTAGAACCTCCTTGCGTAAAGCTATGAAACTCCGAGGTGACTTTGAAGCTCGTCTTTCCCCGGTATGATCCCATACAACTAATGACGGGGCTCAATACATGCTACGATAAACATCTACTCATACTCCCATACTCCATATGTAAACCGACATTGGCTCCACGGATGCCAGCATTCCTTGGATCTGGTTGAAATATGATGTTCGTGGAATGTTCCAAGATGGATAGTATACTTCCGAAGCACTTGCAGTTCCTATCGTATCCATTTGTAAATAGTGTCCACAATTGATAAATACGAGTAGTGACCACAACTTATCAATTGAATCGGAGATTTCCACAACATCCACATGAGATCGGTTGCCTGCCCAACCCCCCGGCGCTTGTCTTTGTCGCGGGTGTTTACTTGCCCTGAGCGTCCCGTGACGATCCGTCTAGCCGCAATGGGTTAGACAGTGCTGAGTCATCTGGTTTCATGGCCTCTGATTGGTCCATATTCTTAGATGATTGGCTGGGGCTGGGAGACGCGCTAAACCCCAAGCGGACATGAGGAACAGGTCGTCAGGGCCGTTCCCAGCCCCCCTCAATAACTGCGACATCTTCCAAGGTTCGCCCTCTTAAGCTCTTCTACTCTTCACTCTCCCCATTGTTCTCCAGAATTCAAGTTCTTTGTCTCCCTTGCTTTCTATATTCTGTTCCCTGGAAGTCTGACATACCTGGCTTGGCTCTGTGCGACCTACAAACCCTTGATTATTATCGCTCTCCGGTATGTTGGAGCCCTTGAATGCGAATGAATCAGTGCTGATCAGAGATAGTGTGAGAATCCAGAACTCCGCGGCTAAACTCCCGATATCGATCTTGCTATCACTTCCCGAAATTACACCATGTCGCAACACAACTCACAAAGTACCCTGGGGGCTCCTGTGGAAATCGTGCCTTCGACTCCAATCCGCCGTGCGACACTCTCCCCTTCCCCCGATCTCAGCGCAAAGCGGACATCATCCCAATCCGAGAAGAGAATATTCTCGCCCCCGCCATTGTCGTCATCAGAAATGACACCCCCACCCTCAACTCAGATCCCCGGCGCTCCACTCCGATCCCGCTCACACTCACGCTCCACGAGTCCCACTCTGGTCACACAAGCAGAGTTGGACAAGTCGCTATGCGATGCCTACGGCGCATCCGAGAACTTGCCAACCGCCGAGCAAATCGACAGTGCCAGCGAGAGCGAGTTGCGCATTATCGCCAAAGATCTTCTAACTATCGCCCGGGAGTCGCGTATGTCCGCATTGCACTTCAAGCTCCAGAACAGCCTAGTCTCCTTTGCGAGCAACGAAGCTGTAAAGCGCGCCGAGGTCGAACAGCACCTCGCCAAGCGCGAAGTCGAGATTATCCAGAGTGAAGCCTACCGCACCCGTTCGCGCCCTGCGGATCTCGTCACCCCGAAGCAGTCCACATCGCCATCAAACTCGGATTACCTCTCGGCTATCCAGCGCTCACAGGAATTGGAAGAACAGAACAAGCTTTTGGATCGACGACTCCGGAACGCCAAGCGCGCAATTGACGATGCAACCAGCCGGTCCTACGATCTTGAGGAACAGAACAATATGCTCAAGCAGCGTATCGGAGATAACCGCAAGCACTTTACCCAAATCTTCAGCTACGGCACTATGTCACCGGCCACGCAGCACGAGATTCACAATATGTGCCACGGTGAACACACCGATGGTCTCGCTGCTCTTCTTTACGCCGACAAACTCACCAACCACACAAACGCTTACGGTGCCACCTCTGCCACCTCCGTTCCCATGACCCCAAACCAGCCCAAGAACGAGTACTCGACCCCGAGCGGAAACCAAGGTGACGACCACTATGACAGCGATAGCACGGTGTCTCTCTCTGCATCCGACGCACCTGAACACAGCATGCCCTCCCCACAACAGATGCGCTCCACTGCTCCCAAGAGCAGCACGTTGCTCCAGTCCAAACTTTTCGGCCATGTTCAAAAGCCCAATGTTGAGCGATCGCGCCCTAACAAGCGCAAGGCAGAATCCGAGGACACCAGTAATGCCAAGAAGACCCGGACCGGCCATATTGGTCTGGGCATCAATGCTTAGGTCCATATCCTAGGCTCCACGAGGATCTCGTGTCAACTCTGATATGATTCATGACCAAGCGTTGATTTGTTTTTTTATGACTATGGGACACGAATGATGAAGACATGCCAAATGTGGTGTTTTCAAACTAGCGTTTTGTTTTTTTTTTTGTTTTTTTGGCTTTCGCTTTTTGATTGTTTTTGGATATTGAGGCCATGAGACGGCGATCCATGGCCCTTGCTTGATATGTGGCGTTTCTAAATTGGGTTTCGGCTTTTTGCACTTTTGGATTGTCTATTTCGCGAGGCGAAATGAAGACGTTGCTGGGTCGTGAAGATGACAGGATGATTAAGTTGGTATTGTACTATAGGAATAGAGTCCATGCTGAGTCCTGACACAAGGCAAATTGCTATGCCTGCAGCGAACAGTAAAATACCTCTGGTCCCGGCTAGTAGTCCCCTAAAGCCGTGGGTATACGAATAAGGGCTTGTAGTATACTTAAAGTTCGGAGCTATGTGCGATGAATATTAGGAATCTCTGCTGGAGCTAGTCAAAGAATCAGCCCAAATTTACTGTCAGTAGACAAGTCAGACAGTTTCATCTACCTCTTTCGTATTCCGGGTCTTCTTAATCTCCCCCATTAGCTCCCGTAGTCAAATATCGTATCGACTCTGTGGCTCGATAGCTTAGAATTGTACCCGTAGATCATGCGACATTGCGGCAGGTCCTTCGACAGGAAGTCACAGAGCCATACCCTGGTCATCTGCCAAGACCGCAGCGCTGCCCAAATGAGTTCAATGTTCGGGCGCGTCCTCTCCGTTCTTTGACACTAACAGTGGAGATCAACCACTGCCCTTTGACTGACGCGTACTCTGTGCACCATCCAGCATACACGATTCAAGTCAACAGATGAGTCCTCTGCGAGTATGGCTGAAGAGCTTCTTTCGGCCCCCCTGGCCTGTGATTGTATTTCCCCATACCGGCTTTGATGTTATCGAAGAGCCCCTTGTCGAAGAGGAGGGAATGGATGGATTTTCCAGTGGTGATTACTATCCTATGGTGATCGGTGATGTCCTAGATTCTCGGTATCAAGTCGTTGGTAAGCTGGGTTTCGGTGTCTCGTCGACGGTTTGGCTCGCCCGGGACATGAGGTGAGTGCCTTTGACGTTGCTCCCTATCCTTTATGCTTACAGATCAGGGATCATCGTCACGTTGCTTTGAAGGTCCACACTCGCGATGAAGATAACAAACACGAGTTCGAAATTTACCAACAACTTTCCAAACCCTCGCAACATCACGGGCGCAAACATGTGAGGGATGTCCTGGATACGTTCACACTACCCCGACCTGGCGGAGACCACCAATGCCTTGTCCAAAAGCCTCTTTGGGAGAGTTTGCAGGATCTTCACAACGTCATGCCAAACGCTCGCTTGGAGGTCAATATCCTAAAATCAGCAATCAAGCAAATGCTACTGGCGTTGGATTATCTACATACTGAGTGTAAACTCGTTCACACAGGTATACTACATGACACAGTGAAAGTCCGAAACGCTTTTCCACTGACTCTTCTGGAGATATCAAGCCAGATAATATTATGCAGGAGCTTAACGATACCTCTGTTCTCAAAAAGTTCGTTCAGGGCGAAGTAAAAAATCCATCACCTCGGAAGATCGTCAGTGATAGGACCATCTATCTTTCCCGTCTTTTAGACCCCCCAAAAAAGTTTGGCCGAGCCTTATTCTGTGATTTCGGAGAGGCTGTTCAGAAAAGAAATCACAATGCCCAGCCTGAATTCTACAGATCGCTAGAGGTCATGCTGAAGGCGAATTGGAGTTATCCTGCTGATATTTGGAACTTGGGTACTATGGTGAGTCGTGAAACCCTATCTTGAGCGCTTTTGCGCTCACCCATTTGAAAATAGATCTGGCAGCTTCTTGAGGGTCAACCTCTCTTCACCGGCCAGCATCCTACTCTGAACACATATCTTACCCGCGCGCACATTGCGGAGATAATCGGACTGTTAGGGCCGCCACCTAACGACCTTATTCAGAAAGGAGCTAGAAGCCCCGAGTTTTTCGATCAAGACGGTAAGCATGCCTTATCCCAGGATTCTTCCAACATTCGGATATTGACGTTTTATAGGAAAATGGAAGATAGATGATGTCGAAATTCAGCCAAGAACGTTGGAGGAGTCAGAGTGCTGTCTTGAAGGCGAAGACAAGGACAAATTCTTGGTGTTTATTAGGGGTATGCTTACATGGCGACAAGAAGATCGGAAGACTGCAGCGGCTTTGCTTCATGATCCTTGGCTGAACAGTTAAACCGGCTCAGACTGAACCTATCCAGCTTCTATGAGTCAATACCTACTGTTTAGAAGAAAAAGAGATACTTAGTTTACTCATGAAGTTACTTGAACGGTCCATGACCACCTACGGAACGCGTTGCACTCAGGCTTGGTGGATGTCTGCCAGGTGTTCAGCAAGGAATTGGGGATGGCTGTCAATTAACCGGCTGTCCTTACCCAACTCTGATAACCCGGCAACATCAGCAAGAACTACAAAAAGTCAGCACGGGATTGTGAAAGCTATTGATTATATTGTTTCAGGATGGCGGAAAGATACCGCGGCCAGGTTTCTTAATCACATGTCTCTAGAATTCATGGAAGAGCAGTTTAGGAGCAATTTCGAATTTGGGGAAATGGTCGTTTTGGAATGGCTCTATGGTGGCTGCTGTACGCCAGAGCGCCCTTGCGGGCATGGGAGTATATCGTGATGGAATAACCAGTGGAGCAGACTCGCAAAATGGTATCGATTTCTCCAAAGCGCCGAGTTCGTGATATTCAGCTCCTCATCAAATGTAACCCGTATGATTGATATTGAATGTTTTGCTGTGCTTAAATGTACCAGAAGCATCCATTGAGGTCTCGGAGGTCTCCTGTCAACTTAACCAGATCTCTATTCAATTCACTTGCTCTTTAAACCACCCCTGCCCAGGTGGACACCAACATCAGATAACCTCACGCCGAGGATATTTCCTTGGTCAAAATAGCAGGTTGTTCCAAAAGAATCAACGGCCCAGCAACCACGCTCTCCTCAGTAGGAGCATCCCTCTCCTTAGCAATATTAACAATAATAATACCAGCATTCAAGTCAAAGCCAGCAGGAATTCTAACCCGATTCTCCTCCGGATAATACCTCACACTCTCCTTCTGCACCCCATGATAAAAAACAGCCCAATAAACCTTCTCCCCAAAAGAAGGCACATTACCAGGATCCAAGTACGTAAACCTAATCTCAGATCCAGGTCTAGCAGTAGTCCCATTCCCAATAAACTCCAGATGCGGCAGATTCTGACGCGGACTCGGGTACAGCGGATTTTCAGCCGGACAGCTACCAGGGACAATGAAGACGGTTGTCAATTCGAGGATCTGGTTCGCGTATGGATAGACGGTGTCCGCGGGGCCGGAGAAGGGATTCGTATTCCAGATGTCGATTAGGGACCAGCTGTTGTGGCGTGATTCCACTTGTCCTATTGCCATAAGTGCGGATTTTGAGATGTTTGATTCGGCTTGGTTGGATAAGCCTGTTAAGAAGGCCATGCTTGATACTTCGAGGTAGGTCTGTAGGGCAAGCCAGATTTGGGGATTGTTGTTGATTGAGTAGTTGTATTTGCAGGGCCCTGGTTTTATGGAATTGTTGGAAATTTGGTCTTGGAAGATGCGGACGTGGCCGGCTTCATTGTCCCGCATTTGGAGGATTCGTTCGTAGGTTGTATCTGGGAGTCCTAGGTTTGTGAAGTTTGTGGATGTGAAGGACTCTACGCCGATTTGGTAGAAGGAGTAGATAGCCCATTCGGCGGCTAGGAGGTTTTGGAATAGGAGGTCGTCTGGGCCGGGGGGTCCTGATTCTGTTGCTGGGATGGCTTTGAGGTATTCTTCCGCTAGTGGTGTTTTCTTGCCTGGGTAATTGAGGAAAAGGGGTGATTCTCCCGGTACTGCGTCGATGGCATTTTGGAGACTGCTAGAGGATGAGCCTTTTGGGAGGGCAAGGGCTGGAAGACCGATTGCTAGTAAGGCAATTGTAGTACTGGAAATCCACATGTTTAGAAGGAACCAGAGAAATGCGCAAGCTTGTTGAATGGGAGAATTCTCTCGATTCAACTGGCCTTTTTATATATGTTCCATGGGCTCAGTCTTCCAATGTTCGTTCTCCAGAACTAATTCCCGAGATCAAGCATCAGAACAAAGCCCCCAAAGCTTAGCACTGACGAGGCATACATTGCAGTTACTTGATTGAGACATGTCCACGCCAATGCCAGGTAAACTTCGATGCACTGCAAGCCACAGTCTACACACGTCGTGTCTTGCCTCAAAAATACACGGGTGTATGAAGTCATCTCTTTGGAGATATGGGAATTCATGCATACTGCAGGGCGTGAAAGCGGAAGAGGTATCGACAAACAGGTCACCATATGGGGCAATCGAGTTGTTACAGGGCTAAGCCACAATAGACATTAGCATGCGCATTAGTGTCTGCCAGGTTACTAGCGAGCCAATAACATAGCCTGGATCCCAACCCGGGGGCCGATCTACGTGTACACGTTCGAGATCGAGTCCTGTATTTTCGTTACTATTTTTTCTGCCTAAATGTACTTCGTATACTCCGGATCAATCGTTGACCACTTTAGCATGGGTAGACTTCCGAGTCGTTTGCATATCTATCTCAGTCTAGTAACCAAACGTGGCTGTTTTTACTTGAACATAGCCTCGTCGGATAATCGGCATGTGTATTTTTAGAGTAGAAAAAAGGTTAACGCTCTTCTACCGTCGGCATATCAAAAGCTACGGCTGTATTCTTGACTATTGTCTGGTATTTTTGCAAGGACCTTGTGCTGTAAGTAAAACATTTACCCGATAAACCTCCTACTAATTAAGTACATATAGCCATAAAAAACAAATCATGGCGTGTACCTAGTATGCTCCATAGTTGGCGTAGAGCCCCGGCGGCTGATCGGCTCTGACTCTATCTATTTCTACCACAGCCCTATGATATTCATCAAATCTACCACAATGATATCACGCCGCGTGCAGCTCACACCTAATACAGTAACTTCGACGTTCTCCCAACCACGGCCTCCCCGCAATCCCCGAGCCCTCCTAACTTAGAAAGACGATCATCTTTGAAGGGCTGTGTCTTCAGTATGATTTTCATCGCCCCTGGGCAACCTGTACAAGATCGTCGAGCCACTACATCATCAGTATCTTCTAAGTCCATGGCATTCCTATTTATTCCCCTTCCCATGGCACCAATCTTCTCTATCCTCATCACTCTGTGATTCAATTAATCTTAACTACAATATTTCTCAACCATCTCACTATGACCCAGTTTGTCGACCCACCTAACCAGTTCGGTGGAGACCCTTTCAGCCAAAGTGCCCAAGGTCAAGGCTACTGTCAGCAACCAGGTGGCCCCAGGCCGCAGAACTTCTACCCTTCAAATGTAAGTCAGACTTCAGGAGTACTCTAGCCCTTATCATACCTGATCTGATACAAGTGCTAACTTCCAAAAGATCCAACAACCCGGCTACATGCAACCCCCAGTCCAATACAACCAGCAAGCCAACCCTTCATTCTATGGCGAACAACACCCACAACCCCAATTCCCCAACACCCCCAACAACCCATTCTCCCAAAATGGCAATGCTACCTCGCCCTATCCCCCAGAACAACAAATGCCAATAGGAGAAAACGCCTCATACTACGGCATGCCACCACAGAACCAAAATGGACCCAACCCAGAAGACGAAAAAGGTCTCGGCTCGACGGTTGTGGGTGGTGCTGCTGGTGGCTATGCAGGTCATAAATTGGGAGGCGGGCTTCTGGGGAGTGCGGCGGGTGCAATTTTGGGGGCTGTTGGCTTGAACGCGGCGACACATCAAGTGTGAGTTGATTTTGTCTTTTGTTGTTGTTGTTTATTAATTTTTTTCTCGCAGTAAGGATCGGAGAAAGAAGCATAAGAAGTGGGGGAAGTGTGGTAAGAAGCGTCATGGGTGTCATGCTCGTCGTAGGCGCTCTTCTTCCAGTTCTTCCAGTTCGAGTGATTGAGGGGATTTGGCTTTGGGTTTGAATGGCTTAGAGGTTTTTTTTACGGCATATGAGACGCAATTGGTACACTAGATTTTTGTTTTTTGTTTTTGCTTGTTTTTGTTTGATACTACTTAAATTGTCAATTTAACCTTTCAAATGGGGCCCCGTCAGTCGATAAGTGCAAAGGAACGAGGATTTACTTAAGTACTTCTAAGGTTACAGCAATCCATTCTCGGGCCATTTTGTCAAGGTGTAGTAAGTATGATCCAAGCAGTTTATTATGATAAATATGGCTCTTAAGTGAGAAGACAACCTTCCAAGGTTGGAAGTGATAGTGTTCAAATGAAGTAACTAGGACACCTCGGTATTCGAGTGCTCAAGTGGGGACGCGTAGTATATAAGGTCTGCTTATTATGAGTTGCTCTATTATGCTTCAACTGCTGAGATCTCGAACATGCTAATCCTTTCATATGTACACCAATTTCAATACCAAACACAATTGGCAAAGGAAGAAACCAATCAGCTATTGACAACAGTGTTGTCAGCGGGAATCGTCATATTGACAATATAGTCATTCACAACTTTCCAAGTCTCTCCTTGCAAGACATAAGATGTATGACCATCGCCTCTCCGTGTGAGAAGAGTGCTATTGCTAATTTGTTCCTGCAGCCCGTTCGCCCAGATATACGAGCACGAAGGATCAAACTGCGAGTTGACCAGAAGAATGCGAGGAGTGCCGTGGATCTTGGCTTTACGCTGCTTATTGACCTGAGGGAAAGGCCATCCGATACAGCGATTGAGTCCGTAGGCGCCGGTGCCAACGTGTGGCCACATGGTTCTAGCGAGATCCCTTTTATATTTGAGATCCACAAGTGAAGCTTCAGGGTGATACCAGTCTGAGCAACTGATCACAGCGCTCTGGAAAACGTCTGAGTTCGAGCTTGTTGCGATGGATGTGGAAAGACCAGTTGCATTTCCTTTTTTGGCCTCGAGAAGATTCTGACCGAGTGTTGCCCAGGTTCCGAGCAAAGTGGAGTTCTTGACAAATAGTTGTGAGTTCACATTGTTTTGGATATCTGCGCCAGTCACGCTTTCGCGACATCCCTTGGCCTTGCATGAAGGTGCGGGGATGGGTTTGTTGTTTGCCTGCTTGACCAGTTCATCAAAGACTTGGAGGACGTCTGTTGAGGTTCCGTTCAGTGGACAGGTCAATGACTGGCTACACCACTCTGCAAATCGGACTACTTCACTTTCATAGGTGAATGATTTCACGGTAAGATATGAGATGGGATCGGTGCTGTGATCCATGTTGCCATCGAAGACCATTGTCCGGATATTCCGGGGAAAGAGTTCTGCGTACGTTTGCCCGATCAATGTCCCGTACGAGAGACCGATATAGTTGAGCTTTCCGTCTCCCAAAGCCTGGCGGATTGCTTCCATGTCTTTGGCCACACTGATAGAGTCCATGTGCTTGACCAGTGGCCCGGTCATATTGAAACAACTCTCTCCAAGTCTGTGGAACTTTGAGACCAATGCATCAAGCTCGGTCTGGTTTGATGGCCAGTACGAGACCTGCTCGTTGTAGATGTCTGGGTCGCAGCGAATAGGTGAACTCAGGCCAACACCCCGAGGATCGAGGCCAATAATGTCGAATCGATTGGCAACATCCTGACCGAATAGTTCGCTGGCAAATGCCACGTAGGTTGTCGCGGTATCGCCTGGACCGCCGGGGTTGAACAGTAGACTTCCTACTCTCTGTGCGGGTTTGGATGCTTTGTGGCGTAGCATGCCAAGTTGGACCTTCTCGCCATGAGGATGATCCCAGTCAATTGGCACTTCAAGCGTTCCGCAGTCGAACCCCGGTTTTGATAACGGAGCTGTACAGTTTGACCATTTTATCGAGGTAAAAGGCGAGCTGTTTGAGACGGCACGAGCTTCGGCGATGGCCAATATGGCCGAAGTGACCAAGAAGTGGGAGAGCATCTCCAAGTAAAGCATGACAGGGGATTTGTGTCGGGCGTCAGGGAGCTGCAGAAGTGACTCGTATTAAATGCAGGTCTCCTATTTATGTACAAGTACAGAGTACTCCGTATTGCTCTGTATTATGGCCCCCAAAGTCAAACGCATCTGAAAATACGGGGTATAGTTGTATAGTTGCTCAGCCCAAGTCAACTACTCCACTAAGGCTGTACGGTGCAAACCCACTTGAGGTGCAGACAGTTGGATATGATAGGCTGATCACCCCCGCTAAGCCTTCACTCGCTAGTCCTAATAGAGTAATCCAGTTGTTGGCCCTATACAAGTCCAAGTAGAGCCCCAGACCATATTCTCTGAGGTCATTAAGCATTCTAGCCGCATGATGTGGCTTGGTTTTCGTATGCTCAAGGATTGTCTCCCTTGTGTACCCATTTTGTTCAAGCGAAGTACGCCTTGAGGCCTTTGGGCTTTCAAATGCCGGGCTCTGCATGAGCCGTGCTCCGCTGTCACCCCACTTTGGTATCCGCGACGGGAGCATTGTAGAGCAAGAGTTCTGCCCAGAGAGCTGGCGTTAGAGGAGGCCGAGGAAGATTAACATGGCATAGGCAGTCTCGGCAACAGGCAAAAGCACACGCCTGTGTCCAATTCTCCGTCGTGTTCAGGTACGGGCCGGGGTTAGCAATGGTGAAAAATGATGACCAGCGCTGGGCTCAGTTCACCTTCACTTCTCTTAGGGCTCCAGGCAATTCCCCACTTGTGACGTGTCGGTGTGCATTATGAACATTTATCTGTGTTTCATGCCATCTGAAGACTGACAGGGAGCTCGACTGGCGTTTTGAGGAATCCTCTTTTCACATGGCTGGTTAATGTGGATATTTTCAAGGCTAGTGAAGCAATTTGAATCAGATCAAGCACTGAATAGTGACGTCGGATAAGTGCGGCATCGGTGCCTGGTTGTATATACCGCAATCTGCGGGTACACTAGCAAATGTCATAGTCGATATTTGGGAGCAAGTCAGCATGGTGATTTGAGAAAGTCCAGTGAGAGACCAACAGATCTAGAGTGAACGAATGTCGAAGAATGATATATGGAAGCACGTGACATCATTAGCGGGCTGTCTTTTATTTGATGAACCATGGATGGCCCGCTGACTCAGGCCAAAACCGTCGAATGAAAATGGCCAAATTTGGAAAAAAAAGAACGAAAAGATGGAGGCGGAGGAGGTCGGCAGATTACCCGATCGGGAATGGTTAGGGCTCGCTAAGCGAGGCGGTGGGCCAGTCAGCGGCCGCACGAGAACTTCATTTTCTGCCGTGAAGGAGGAATTGACCAGCAACCCTCGACGACCACCACCCGGCTTGTTCCCCATCCGTCAACATGGTGCGTTCCCCCCCTCTATGGAAGAAGACAATGAAGGATTCGACTTGTCCGATTGAGAGGAATCGACGACTCGAAAGAAATGGCCGAATGGAATGACTGATTGTGTGTGGGACATATAGGCGATCAAGCACAACAACCAGATTCAGAAGAACCGTGAGTGACCCCGTCGCTTTGCACCCAGAAGATCGCCTACGAGAACGACATTGGACTCAGCATCGAAAAAAATATATATATACATGGGAATGGTGGTTAACGAATTGATTAGACTTCCACAAGGACTGGCAGCGTCGTGTGCGTGTGCACTTCGACCAGGTACGACTTCTCCAACAAAACCCCCCGAATCAAGAAAGAAAATTTCCTCCTTCCGAACGATATCGCAACCCGACTGGAATCGAGAAGAAAAATTTTCTTTCGCAGGATGTGGAATCGGTCGACTAACATGAGTACAGCCCGGCCGGAAGCACCGTCGTCGTGAGGCCCGTATCGCTAAGGCGGCCGCTGTTGCCCCCCGCCCCGTGGACAAGCTGCGTCCCGTTGTCCGGTGCCCCACCGTCAAGTACAACCGCCGTGTCCGTGCCGGCCGTGGTTTCACCCTCGCCGAGCTGAAGGTAAATGGAAAAGTCGCATACGGAAAAAGAGCAGAATGCTGATTCGAATTCGCGTACAGGAAGCTGGTATCCCCAAGAAGCTTGCTCCCACCGTCGGTATCTCGGTTGACCACCGCCGTACCAACTACTCCAAGGAGTCCCTTGTCGCCAACGTTGCCCGTCTCCAGGACTACAAGGCCCGCCTGATCCTCTTCCCCCGCAAGAGCGGTCAGTTCAAGAAGCTCGACTCCTCCCCCGAGGACGTCAAGGCTGCCAAGGCCACCGTTGCCGAGGGCAAGCGTGACGGCATCATCACCCGCGTTGACGCCACCTTCCCCATCAAGAACATCACCCCCGCCGAGGCCGTCACCGAGGTCAAGCGTGACGCTCTTCCCGAGGGTGAGAAGGCTGCCTACCGCCGTCTCCGTGACGCTCGCGCCGAGGCCCGCTACCAGGGTGCTCGCGAGAAGCGTGCTCGCGTCAAGGCTGACGACGAGGCCGCTGCCAAGAAATAAATGTGTTAATTCCCTGCTCGTGCTGATGATGATGATCGGGTCGGTTTTCGAATCGGGGATTAGTGTACTTTGGCATGGCGTTGCGCCGCTTCCTTGATTCCCTCTCCCTCCCCCAAATTTACTCCTTTTTGTCTCCAAAAGAAAGAACTCGGAAGATCTCTCGAAATTCAAAACCGCTCAATTTTCTCAATTTATGGTAGTCTTGCCCTGTGGGTTGTCTAGTTGAATAGCGTATTGCACATACAAATTCCTCCGTTTATGGTATGGGCTTGTCGTACATGTGGAGGATGTGGTTCATGCTCGTTGACCAGGGCTGAGACATGCCCATCAATACTTTAGCAGAATGAATGGAACTACACTTGCAAAAAAGCATATCTATCAACACTTAACTCGTTATCTCTCACGTAGTCTCTGCAAACAGGATATACATTCAAATTGTACTAGGGTATCTTCGACTTCTACGCTAAACATCTCAGCACCATCGCTAATAATCGCAAGACAAAATCAACCAAACAAAGCACCAAGAGCACCCTCAGTCGCCCTCAGAATCGAATTAACATGGACAACGTCACTTCCAAACAAGCCGTGGTCCCCATGTAGCAGCGCATGGAAGAGCTTCTTGGTTTCATGATCAATCTTCTTATCAGCACCAGGAACCGAGACAGTGATCTCAGGCCGTAGCTGAGGCTCTCCAGACCATTCATCCAATACCAAAGTGTTTGATATCATGACCCGAGGACCAGAGGCAGAGGTCTTTGATTTCAAGATCATTGAACTTCGATCAATATGAGGAATTAATCGTCGTAGATCTGAAATCGTGATGGCCCCGTTCTCATTTATGGGCTCGGTATCATCTCTGCCTTGTGACGCCCGAGGCCCGTATTTATGGTCGATGTGTGCCCATAGTCGGGCACGCGCAACTGTCACTTCCCAGTAGCGGTTGATGCCCCAACAGAGGGTTGCCACGTCCAGTCTCAGAAGTGGGTTCTCCAGTCGGGAATCGATCCATCGGCGGAGGGGCTCGGGGATTTTCCTTTTCTTGCTGTCGGCAGTGGGCACTGACAGGGATGTCAAACATTGAGTTTCCGGATCTGCCTCATACACAACAGTCACGTTGTAGATACTGGCTGGGAATGGGGGTGGAGGCGAAAAGGTCAGAGTGTGTGTCTCTGATAAATCACCCATGTGTGATGACCGGGTTGTACGTGTTTTGAGTTTCAATGGCGCGAAGATTGTTAAATATGGAAGTGATTGGGAGTTTTCTTGCAGGGCGAATGGGTTTGTCGGTAATGGTGATGTCTGCCGCTTTGGTCTGGGTATATTGGCGGAGAATGGGAGTAGAGCAGCAAGAAGAGAAGATGCAGGCTTAGGGGGTTTTTGCGATATAGGCTGATGTGTGCGGTTTGCCTCCTCGGATATAAGTAAAGACCTGGTTTTTGTCAGCTACGTTCACGTCCATTGCTTCTATAAGACTCACAAGAATTGATCAAGGCCTCTGGTGTCGCCTTTCAGGTCAGGGTTCGTTTCGACCTTTTTGGCCCAGGATTCCAATTCCTCAACTTCTTTCTGGAGTCGTCGCAAATCGGCAGTAGCCTTCTTGCGCGAGGCTTGCTTCTCTCGAACCGCCGCAGAGAACCCATCAGGATATGAAGCTGACTGCGTGTCTTCATCCGAGGGAGGTGATTGGAAATTCACCGCTTTCAAGGGGCTCTCATGCAATGGGTTGTGAAGCCTCCGTCTCGATCGTTTCTCCAGTCGCATACTCGGGCTGCTACTCAGTCCCCTAGGCCGGTCCGGAGCTTTTTCTAACCCCAGCTGGGTTGGTGTGGGTGGTAATTCAGGCTCAGCGTCGTCATCGTCCATAAACCCAGGGTCTGGTCCCAAATTCAGCTCTATATCTCCTGCAGCACTGCCCAGCTCGGATGCCAATTGACCCTCAGGAGTGTGGGAATCGGGGTTTGGTGGAGGGGGCAGCGGTGACCCGAACACTAAATCTCCTGGCAAGATCCTCTTGGAAATCCTGCGCGGCGGTTTGGAGAACGCTTGTATGCCACTTGCGCGCCTGCTTGGTGAACTTTCTGGGCCTTCGGACTGCCTTGGTCGGGTGAGCGGACTAGCAGAGGCACTGAGTGAGGGTCTCAGTGCTTTGCGATCGCGAAGTCCAAGCACCCGAGGATCTCTTGGTTGTTTTTCTTTGCTTATCGCTTGTCGGCTGGGAGACCTGGTGAGCGCGCGCTCCAATGCATCCGGGTTCGTTCGTGCAAGACTGGCCCTTGTTGGGGACTGGTAAGACGGTCGCCTTGGTCGGCGCGATCCATTTTGCGAGAGTTCCGGGACTAAAGAAATCCCTGACTCGCCTGTCTTCCGTCGTTTGGCGGGGGAATCCATTGTCGCGGGTGTTCAGACTGATTCGGCGCGACGATGAAGATAAACAATCTGTGTTTGCACTGTTTGCACTATGACTTAATGGCCCTCTGCGCTTCCCGAGGTCTTCCTTTTTGTCATTTTCACACCATGGAGTGTCTGTCAGTGCGCACAAGACACTCGCTCAAGAGGCTGGGTCTTTATTCTCGCTCGTTATCTCCTATAGCATCGTCCTCTATCGTTGCCCGCAGACAATATGTCCTGGTCCCGACTCCCCGGCGCATGAAAGCCCACCAATCTGACCTACCGGACCAATCCGATTCCTCAAATACGCCAGCTTCCCTGGAGGAAATTCCTGAAACTCCTCAGCATGATCAAGCGCAACCGCTGACCGGGTACTACTCATTGATCCTGCGCTCGCCCACTCCATATGCTGGCCGGGCGGTGACGTCGCGGCCAACACCTCGGCCCGAAACCGCACCATCCTCCGTCGAGCCTCAATCGCCGCAAGAAAAAATGGCAATTGTATTTGGTACTCGTCTGGCTGGTCCCGGGCGATCCTCGCGCTACAATCCCGGCGAACAGCCAGCGTCGATGTGGAAAACCATCAACGGCGTGCCCATTCCTCCACAACCTGAAGAACCGGACAACTGCTGCATGAGCGGCTGTGTAAACTGTGTCTGGGACGACTTCAGAGACGAGATGGAAGAATGGGGGAACAGGGTGACCATGGCTAAAGCCAAGGCGGGTGTCAAGGGCACACCGGATATGCGCTCTGCACCTAGAGCAGAGGTCAACTCTGCCAGTGGTAGCATGGATGATGATGGAGGAGGCAGCGAGGCCAATTGGACTCAACCTGGCAAAGACGACGATTTGTTTGCCAACATCCCCGTTGGCATCCGAGAGTTTATGAAGATCGAGAAGAAGTTGCGAGTGAAGCATGAGAAGGAAGCCACGCCGTGAAATCTGGAAATATTTGTTTCTCTTGCTTTATACCCTGTGATATATTCATGGATGGGACTTGGAAAGTTCGAGCTCTGGAGGGAAACATGTCTTTAAAGCATTTCGCACTTGAGCATAGATATATATAGATGGATGGATTGTACATAGGCTCGCAAATGATACCATGACGCTTCAAATTAGACAATATGTTACCGGAATACTCAAGTCGACTACTTACGTGTGATTATTTGTATATAACTGCCTTTGATCGTGAAATATTCAAGACTCAATATCGGCAGTACGGAAGTAGATTTCTAGTTGTTGCGGCGAGCGGCGCCAAGCCCGAGATTCTAAAGTTGGAGACGCGGATCTATTTTTTTTTTTTTTCCTCTTCACTCCTGAGACCACCTGGCACCTGTCGCCCATAAATAACGGACAGACATTCGTTTATTGTCCACATAGTTATAATACCGCTTCCAGGTTTCAGATATCTGGGACACGCCAGCGTGAGTTGGGTCCTAGCATCGGAGACCCCGTTCCTCTTTCCCAGCGAAATCCCGGCCTTGCACAATGACAGGAACGACCGCCTGCCTGCACCTCCGGAATCTCAATCGACCTTCTCTTCTCGCCCGAAATGAATCTCGCCTCACTATCCCGGGTCAGGGACTGGGCCAGCTGAGACTGCGACAGTCTCCCGGCCGAACTATACACACAGCCTGTCGAACCATTCTTCCTGTTCGATCTCTCGGATCTCGATCAGCGAGTGCTACCACTGTTCGCCAAACCACAGTCAAAATCGACGCCCCATACCTCCAGAATCACCTAATTGCGCGCGGACTTTCGAGCACCAGTCAATTGAGATCCCAGGCTACTGCTGAACAGCGAGTCGATGAAAATGAACCGGAAGTTTCAGAGACGCCTTCGTATTCTATTCCCGGCATTTTCGGGCTACAGAGCTTGGTCGCCAATCCGAAAGGGTCGACATTGGAATCAGAACAGTTGGCTCCAGAGACAGAGTCAGTGGAGATCGAACCAAAAAGACAAATTCTGAAACCAGCGGATTTATTTTCAGAATCAAATTTTCCGTCTCCGGAAAGCGCAGACCAAGCGCACTCCGAATTTTTCGATCAGCTTGTGAGAAGCGGCATTGTGACAGAGAGGGTCTTGAAAACTTCCGAGGACAAATTCACATACGGTTGCCATGTTGGGCCAAAAAAGAATGGAATGTACTTCGGGATACATGTTAAGGCCGATACAACGGTATGTGAAGCTCCAGGGGCTTATGCATTTCCCTGATTCTGCTCAATCTGCGAAGATCTAACACGATGAAATAGCCGACGGCAATGAGTGCTGGTCGAAAGTTTGCATTGAAAAGGTTTGCCGATGTTGGAATCTATGAACGCATATTCAAGCTTTTCACGATGTTTCACTTTGATTGCAATAACTTCCCCAGTGCCCGGAAAATTTTCAAACGAGACATCTCTCGCCGAGTGCGTAAGGAAGCTATAAAACAAAAACATGCAGAGAGCGTTGAAGCCGCAAAGCAAGTTGCACAACTTGAAGTTTCAGATGACTTGGCTTTCGCATTCGGCAAAGAATCGAGTAAAGATTTGATGACGAGCATTGTATGGATGAGGCGCAATCAATCCTTCAAGCTAGCGTTGGCGGACTTGGAGGGGCACGCAGTGAGGTACCCTCAGAAACCCCTCGATGAGCCAGAGAGGAATCGTCAACTGGAGGACAATAAATTGAAAGCCGAGAGCAGCTCTGATCCCCAATACCAAGCCATCCGCAGGTGCATGATGGATTTACCTGTCCGGAATTACGAATCTCAATTGCTAAAGCTCATTAATCATAACACTTACAGCATCTGTGCCGCAGAGACTGGGTCTGGAAAATCCACACAAATTCCTCAGCTCATCCTGGATGATGCGATCTCTCGGTCGAAGGGCGCTCGCTGTAGGATTCTGTGTGTTCAACCGAGGCGCTTGGCCGCAATTCGTCTGGCGCAACGAGTGGCTGCAGAAAGATGCGAGGAGATTGGTGACTCTGTTGGTTACACCGTGCGATTTGATCACAAACCACCGAAGAACGGGGGAAGCATTGAATATTGCACCTCCGGGATTCTGATGAACATGCTGAAAGATGACAGTCTCCTGGACAGATTCACCCATATCATCCTCGATGAGGTTCATACCCGCGAAGTTCAGCTTGATATTGCAATGATGGCGCTGAAGCGTCGGATTATGGAACGTCAAAAGATATCCCGCGAGGCACATGTCCCGAGAGTTACCCTGATGAGTGCAACGGTTAATGTTGACCTGTTTGCGAAATATTTCAGCACAACAGGTGTTGGTAACCAAAAGGAATACCCTGCTCCTCATATCACGATTCCTGGACGCAGTTTCGCTGTGAAGAGGCACTATCTCGAAGAAGTGCTTCAAAGCTTCACCCACACCTTGCCACCAGAGACTGTTTCGACGCTCTTGCAACGCCAAGCTCCCACCGCCGACTTCTTGAACAACCACTTCAAAGTGCATGGTAATCAGAGTCAAGATGAGGTGTCAACTCCCCTGGAATCAGCTCGCCAACTCGACGAAAAAAAGATAGCTTCTGGCTTGGTGTCTGCAACCATAATTTCCCTGCTTGTCAACAAAAAGCAGGGCTCTTTCCTTGTTTTTGTTCCTGGGATGTTTCAAATGGACGAAATCATTGCCGACTTGAATAACGTTGGTCCTCGATTGGGCTTTGATTTCAGGGATTCTGCTCGATTCAAGATCATCAGACTACACTCGGAACTGCCAAAGGAACAAGAAGAACTTGCGGTTCCAGTCCCCGAGGGCTGTCAAAGGATCATCATTGCCACAGATATCGCCGAGGCATCTGTTACCTTCCCTGACATCCATCACGTCATTGATACTGGGAAGCGCAATCAGCTCGATATTGACCCCGCACAGGAAGTCAGGGAGTTGATGCCCTGTTGGATCAGCAAGGCTGCCTCGCAGCAGCGGGAAGGACGCGCAGGGAGAGTGCGGGAAGGCGATTACTACTTCCTCGGGTCTTCAAACCGGTACGAATCGTTAGCAGGCGCCCATGCCGCTGAAATCAAGCGCACCAGCCTCGAGGAGACCTGTCTTCATCTCAGGAAAATGATCAGCGGCATTCCACTTTCGGTACTATTGGCGGAGACCATTGAGCCACCCAGTGAAGACAGGATAACCTCCGCAGTGGAAAATTTAAAGCACCTGCGAGCATTGGACAAAGAGGAAAATCTCACTGGTCTTGGGCGCATTCTTGAGAAATTGGACATGGATCCCTCCTTTGGAAAAATGGTCATTCTCGGTGTGATATTCGGGTGTCTGGATCCAATGCTGATCCTTGCAAGTTTCGCGTCGGGGAATGATTTCAACCAAGTGAAAATCCCAGAAGTTTCGCTCGAGAACTTCCGGAGAATTCGCCGATCTTTCGAGGGAGATTCATTGAGCGACCACATGTTTCTTATCAACTCCTTCCAAGCCATGCGCAAAGCGATGAGCGACCACAGGATACAAGCGGAAACTTTTGGTCTTGATAGCCAGAACGAGATCACACACAAGATAGATTCATTGGATTCTGAATTTGCCAAACGACACTTCCTGAACCTGCGCCCTTATCGCAAAGCTGTCGCTTCAGCCTCTCTCATCATGGATAAATTGGGAGTACCATTCCCACGCAGGAGCCGAAAATCGTGGCTTACCGAACCTTTTGCTTCCGAAGCAATGAACCGCAACTCCGGCAACACAAATCTCATCAAGGCACTATTGGTGCATTGCCTTGCGCCCAAACTGGCCGTGCGGCAAGCCGGCGGTACCAAGGTCTATGTCAACCTCAACCCTGGTATTCGTGGTGTTTCCATTCCACGCAGGAAAAAGAAAACTGCCATGTTTGCGTATGGCTACAAGTACTCAACCGCGCTCGTCTCGCTGGGTATAAGAAATGTGACTCAGGTCCGTCCATTGGCCGCCTGCCTCTTGACCCATAATCTGGAACAGAATGAGGGAGCACTTCTCCTGGACTCATGGTTAAAGTTCAATATCAAAACCGAAAGTTTACCAGAAACAACAGTTGCCGAGAACTTGTATCTCCACCACAAGACTCTGAGCATGGTGAGTATCCTGCCATTCCTTATCAGTTCGTGCACTAATCTCATACAGGGTCTCCAAACCGCCTTCGATCTTCTCTCTGTTGAATCCTGCGTCAAAGACATGCCAGATAAGGGCAAGTTTCTGGGATTACGTCGCAAGTTGCAAAAGAACCTAGAGAAAGAAATGGATCTCATCGTCAGCCTGGACTCCCCATCGACAGCTGTTCATGACCCGAAGCACTGGGAAACCCAGTGGAACGATGAGGATTTTGAGGATTTTGAGGATTCTTGAGTATTCTGAATAGTCCATCTTCAGGGCTACTGTATTTATAATGGCGAGAATTCTGCCATCTCATGTATATTATCTTTGTCATGTTTGTTATGCATCATATGGGCGCTCACTGTCTGATAGAATTTCGGAGCACATTTGGATATAAAGAGGAAATCAGCTACACCTCGGACAGCGGCAAGCCATTACGTCGGGCCTAGCCTGTCCACTGTTGTGCACTAATTCATACTCCGCATACATGGATATGTGCTTGTACATCGAATCACCGTTCAGTCCCCGCCCAAATTCATACTTAAGTAACACTAATGCAACAACTAACGTGTAACAGGTACTCAGGAAATTCTGCATAAACCAGCCGGGTCTAGTGCATGATTAGCTTGTAACACTAGCTCATGCATGCATGCACTGACGTTGCCGTCAGAATCTTGAATAACACCATCCTTGATTGGATCATATTTCCCGCGCTTGCCCACAGGTGGACTGATTTACATCGCCTAGATAAAAGTGCCTCGAAATTCCTTGAAATCTGGTCAAGTGGTTATTATGCCCAGTCCATGATTGGGGCCCGTCCACGGCACGGACTGAAGATCCAGCCCTAAGTCTTCTAATTTGGGCTGCTACTGCGGAATCATCTGCAAGATCCTTGTCGATGTCAATCTAACGCCCAGGGTGCGGGGTTTATACTGTTGTTATTGTCGTTATGAATGATTTTTGAGGCATAACTATTATGTCTTTCCACACTTCTTTCTTGTACTGGTTTTTGTACTACATTCTAAGAAGGATATAAACACATAGTATCTTGCCAGAGTTGAGAAGACCAACATTCTAATTGACACATCTGAAGTTCCAACCATGGCGATCATTCCTAGTTCTGTGCTATCAAGCGCAGAAACCTTTCCGGATGTCATTGTTACTTTGCTGGGAGCAAGCCTTGCTCTGGTGAGTATAGATTCCAAGGTTACTGTCGTGAAAAGTGAGGCTAATCAAGAACATGATCTAGATTCCTCTTTACTTCACAGGCCTAATGGTCTACAACATCTACTTCCACCCTCTATCCAAATACCCTGGCCCAAAGTCCATGGCAGCAACCCGAATCCCCTATATGCAAATGGTCCTGAGTGGCCGGTACCCACAAAAGACACGAGAACTACACCAAAAGTACGGCAATGTAGTTCGGATAGCCCCAGACGAACTCTCATTCACAGACGGCGACGCCTGGAAACCAATCTACGGCACTCGCATCGGCCACGGACAGAAACCCAAAGACGACCGGTTCTACGTCCCAAGAGCCGGTGCAGCGGATATCATTCTCTCCAATGATGCAGATCACTCGCGTTTCCGTCGCTTGCTGTCGCATGCTTTCTCGGATAGTTCACTGCGTGGCCAGGAATCTATCATTAGTTCCTATGTTGATCTGCTGATCAAGCGGCTCCATGAGAATGTGAACACTGGGAATAATGTCCTTAACATGGTCGCCTGGTATAACTTCACAACCTTCGATATCATCGGTGACTTGGCCTTTGGTGAATCATTCGACTGTCTCAAGAGCTCGAGTTATCACCAATGGATCTCAATCCTATTCAGCTCTCTCAAGACTGGTCTTTATACGAATGTTGCCCGTCGCCTCCCATGGTCCGATTACCTGCTTGCCCTAATCATCCCCAAAAGCGTGGTATCCCAGCGCAACACACACCTGGAACTAACGACCCAAAAAGTCCAAAACAGAATGGAAAAATCTAATGAAAGACCCGATTTCCTAGGCAATATCTTAAAACACAACAATACCGAAAAGGGATTCACTTTCCAAGAACTAGTCGCAAACAGCAGTACCCTTATCATCGCAGGATCCGAAACAACAGCAACCCTCCTTTCAGGCGTGACATACCTCCTCTTGAAGAATCCTCATGCCCTGTCCAAACTCCAAGAAGAAATTAGATCAGCTTTCACCAAAGAGGAAGAAATAACTTTGGATTCTTGCAATAAACTAGAATACTGCCTTGCAGTCCTCACCGAGACTCTGAGAATGTATCCCCCCGTCGCAGTGGGATTACCCCGAATAGTCGATCCCCAGGGCGACATGATTGCCGGGAACTGGATCCCTGGAGGCGTAAGACACATTTCACGAAAATCCTTAAATAGCATCTAACCATTCTTCATCTATATAGACCATCGTCTCAGTCTCCCACCTCTCAGCCAGCTACTCGCCTGAGAATTTCACAGACCCGGAGCAGTTCATTCCAGAGCGACATATGGGGGATCCGCGATTTGCAAATGATAGCAAGAACGCGATGCAGCCATTCAGTTTCGGGCCTAGGAATTGTATTGGGAGGAAGTGAGTTCAGTTCTGATTCTTGAGGTTTTTTGTTGTTGCTGATGCTGGTAGTCTGGCGTACGTGGAAATGCGGATCATTATGGCTCGGATGATTTTCAATTTCGATATGCAGCTTGATCAGCCTGGGTATGATTGGTTGGATCAGAATTGTCATTTGCTTTGGGAGAAGCCTGGTTTGATGGTTAGACTGCAGCCGAGGACTGTAACCAACTAGTATATAGTTGGTTTAGAGTCAGCGCCACCCGTTCCTGATCCACGTGGTATACTTAAGTAGCATGCATCTTTTCTTTGTTTTTCCAAGTAAATGAAATAACATACCAGTATCACATAAAGACATATAAAAGTAAAGAACTAAGCAGAATATTTTTTTAAGAAAAAAAAAAGAAATGCTCACACTCGGAGTCGAACCGAGGATCTCATCATTACTAGTGATGCGCTTTACCACTAAGCCATGCGAGCAATTGATGTAAAAGCTGTCACTTTTATGCAATATATCCCCAGCAGCAATAAACTGTAAAAATAAACCAAACCGACCGCCCCATCACCGCCCCAGAACCCCGGCAAAAAAAAAAGTATCTCAGTACGAGTCCGTACAGAGTCCATACAGTCCAGAGCAACACGATCAAAATGTCAAAAACCTCCGAATCCGACGTAATCCTCAACAGAGCCAACGTCGCCCTATCCCGCAGCCAAAGACTCGTGGCATCATGGCTCCCCCAAACAGACGAACCAACCAAAACAGACGAAGAACTCCAGAAAGAAGAAGATGAGATCTTCACAGCTGTTCCAGAGACGTAAGGCATAAGTACGACAAGAAAAAGAAAAGTGCTAAAATCATGCTAGACTAGGAATTGGGGCCCCGCTCCCTCAGAAAGCAGCAGATGGAAGCTGGAATCGAAGCGATCTAGACTCGAATGATAAATTGCGGAAACAATTACTAGGCAAGAATTATGATCGGGTTATGAAGGCTGCTGCGGAGGAGAAGGCTGCGCAGAAGGCTGCGAAGGCTATACCAGTTGAGAAAGAGGAGAAGGAAGAGGAAGAAGAATATGATGAGGAGGATGGGAGATCGGCGATGTTATCGAAACAGAGGGAGAAGAAGAGGAAGGGGGCACCGGGTGTTCATCCTGCTGTTTTGGCGGCTGAAGCTGCAGCTGGGACTGGGGAGACGGATAAGGGACCTCGCAAGGGAAGGAAGAAGGCGACGAGTTATTTGGATGAGCTTTTGGCGGAGAGGTCGAAGAAGAGGAAGAAGAGGTGATAATGTTATTCGCATATGCGCGAGTTCGAGTTGACCTTGAGCTTGATGCGCCAATACAGACTAAGCGCTGGAAGCTTGGCAAGGTTGCGCTGGCCTACGAGATCCTGTCTGAGCAGATTGCGAAGTTAAAGTACAATTCAATTCCAGTCTTGCTCTAGTGCCACAAGAAATATTTTTTTGGTCCGTCCAGTGGGTATATGTGAGATGATTGAACGGAGAGTTGGACTGTGACAGGCTGCCATAAGATATCCAAAGATGGGAGACATCTACAAGCACAATTAGAGATGAGCAGACGGGGACGGTCCGAACGAGCCTGGTCTGCTCGGTACATATGCAGGTCGAATGGGAGGTCCGGGTTGTCCAAGGTGCAGAGATTTGATATAGACGCTCAGATGTCTCGAGGGAAGGGAGGGAAATGCTGAGAATATAATCGGATCTATTCAAGCCGCTTCCGTTTCCGGTCGTCTGCCATGGCTTGCTGGTCCTCGTCGGGTCTTTCGGCTGTATCGGCAGGATTGAGCAATGAATGCACGTTGCTCGCCATGCTGGACCGACGGGTGGCAGGCAATGATGAGCCGTGTGGGAATCGGGAGCCTCCAATCGTCCAGCCATTATCAACGCCGAGCATAGATGGTGAGGGCTCGGCGATGGGAGGGGTGGGGTTGCGAGACTGTTCTTGAAGGCGACGGGGAGCGCCCATCTCATATTGGGCGAGGACATCGCGGACCTGTTGGTCACTGGATGCTGGGGTCTGCTGTCCTGGGGAGGGTGGCCACGGGCCACTGGGCATAGGACCGGGAGGATAGGGAGAGCCAGCCGATGGCGGCCAGCCATGTTGGCGTATATCGGCAGATGTGTGGCGCCGGGCGAGACTGGGTCCGGGAGAAGTTGAGACGGAGAGGGGATGAGGGGTTGGTTGTGGAGGGGGTGCCGCGGCGGGGGGTTGCGGTCGAGCGTATGTGGTGGAATTGGCGCCGCCGATGGAACCGTAGCGGCGGGGGGAGGCTGATAGGTGAGGAGGAACGGGTGGTCGGATCATATTGTTAGGTCTAGGGGCAGGGTCCATCATGGACTGTCGGCGAGGATCATCCTGAGGCATTTGGCGCGGGGACAGAGGTGGGCCAGTCTCAGCGATGTTGGCGAAAAAGGGTTGTCGGGAGGGCATGAGCGCTTCGTGGGGGGTTTCCAGGGCGCGGACAGTCTCGATGTGCTTTTCGACTTCCCTTTGCATGCTCGATACTGGAAGCTGGGTTAATAGGTGACTTCAGGTCCATGCGCTCGGTCACTTACCATCGCGATAGAGAGGGCTTTCCCTGTCCGGCACCACGGCCTGGAGAAATCGGGAGATAGAGTGCGTCCACTGTGAATAATATTAGCACTGTCAGGTCGCGCGCGCACAGCATATTCCCAGACATACTTGGTAACATTTGGTCAGACTCTCCGTCATCGCCTGACACCTGGAGCTTAGCGTCATGTTCCCCTCTTCCGCCCGGGACAATCGTGCATGCATATCAAAGAGGGTGTGTTCGAGGTTCATGAATCGAGCTTCGGTCGCATCGGGCACGGGCTCGGCGGGTGTCCCAGGATGCGAGACGGCGGCTTTGTGACCGGGGAAGGAGTCGCGGTGAATCAAGGCGTGCCGGGAAGCGCGGCGCTTGATCTCTCGTAGGCCAGCTAGATCACCCCGTTTGAAGTTGCCATTTCCGTGCTTAAACTCCCACAATGCCGAGTCTGGAGACCCGGTATGGAATACATCGCTCACTAGCCACCGATCGTCAGGAGCGGGTCAACGGGGGATTCGCACGCACAGCACCCACCTTTGTGAAACCCATACATGTTCAACTGGCGGACGAAGGAGGAGATATTAGTGTGCTTGAAGTACGAGCTGGGAGAGTCAGCAAGACCCTGTAGGGCCCTGTCGGCCACTCAGGCCACTCAGGCCACGTCGGATCGGGACTCACGCTAGGACTTTGGAGAATTCAGAGGTGGGCGACATCACGAAACTATCATTTGTCCCCGACCAGGAGATCAAGTGGGAGATGCTGGTGTCCTCTAACATACTGGACCAAAGGTCAGCTCATCGCCGGGAGTCACGCGCAGGCAACGTACTTGTAGAGCTTGTGAATAAACGCGGTCTGGACGACCTTGGGCTGCTGCGCTGCGGCAGCCGCACCGATGGCCGGGTTAGGGACATTGAGGGAATTGGACTCGGCGCCATTGACCCGATCGTCGTGGGGGGGAGGGGTGATGTCCATTCTGGCGTGTTGGCCCGAGGAAGATAGTACGGGTATATTGCGAGTTCTGCCGGGAGCGTCGACTCCAAAGGAGATTCGTGAGTCGAGGCGACTCATAATGCGACGGAGGGGGTGGACCGTTGACGCTCGTGCGGAAGAACGTGGGAAGAATCGGGTCAACCAAAAGGGGTCATGGCGATCATAAGAAAGAAGATACTTATAAGATATATATAAGAGATACTTGGGTATAAGATATAACAATAGATGGCACTCTCAGGGATTCGCAGGAAAAAGGGGCAGTTGATTAGTTGATCAGTGATTTCCATATGGCGCTTCCTCCTCATTGGCTGCGGTATACATCACCGCTTCACACCTTTGGCTTCTTACTTCTTACTTCTTTTACTTCTTTTACTTGGATTCAATTGGAAACTTATAAATTCTAATAGTATGTGTTTTGTAGGGAGTTCGTGCCAACCCTATATGTAGATAGTTCCCGACCTTCTAGCTTCTCCCTTCTCTCTCTTTCTCTTCCCGAGTGAATTCAGTCGGTTCCTTTTCTCTCTTGCCGTTCAGTCTCAACAGTATGGCTCCCACTGTTTTTCAGAAATCTCTCCAACAGGTCTCCAATCAGATTTGAAGGATGCAACACAGACCTCGGACGTTCTACCTATTCCCAGCACAAAGAAATCGTCATCGCCTTGCCATATATCACAGCTAATATCATCTAACCAGGGAAGTGTTGGTTCGGTTCCATCATAAGGTAGAGTTTTTTGTTTGTTGAACATAAAGAGAGCAGTACCAGGAGGCGTGGACAGAATCTGCCATCTTTCGGAAGCAAGCACCAGTGTGTTATCACGATGTGAGTACATGATGTTGTTCTCCGTGACGAACTGACTCACCGGGGACTCACGACCCCATGGATCCACAGGCTCTTCGGTCAAATATGCCTCGACCGTGTCATCGTCTTCCAGTGTGAAGCGCAGATGTGTGGTAGTTTCGTATCCGGGGTTGAGGTCTCCGGGCACGTCCCAATTGAGCTTTATGTCAGAACAATATTGGGAGGTCTTGAAGGGATGGAAGCTGTCGAATTCGATTTTGTTCACCCTTGGGGCCAGAAAGGGCGAGATGTCGAAATTTTGGCCCAGGGAGCATGGGAAGCCATCTTCTTGAAGGGAAAACCTTTTCACTTGGAGCTTATATGTTTTCCATTCTTCTTCGAGAATTGGCCTGCCACGTCTGAACTGGTCATGTGCCATTTTCATTTCAATGATGGAAAACTCGCCGTTTTCATGGAGAGATAAAGCAATGACCGGGTGCTCAAGATTAATGGTACGAGTAATTCCGGACTCGAAGCAGAACTGCACAACCTGGCCGGAAGGATAGTAGAGCATGACTTTGCTTCCCTTTACAAAAAGCGCCTGGTAATTGGCCGAGGGCAGACGGAAAGACTTGAGTTGCTTGGTTTGGAGGTCCCAGACGTAACAGAGGCTACTAATATTAGTCCAACCGAAACGAATCCTTATACATTGTGAAGAATCGATGCATACCGTGTTGTAGTCGCAGCGAGCAGTCTGCCCGAAGTCTCGAGCCTCTCAGGCGTTTCTCTGTTCTCAAGGGTATAATCTGTCCGTACGCCAGTTCTCAAATCCAACACAGAAATATGATCCCCGGTATAGCCAACAACTATTCCTTTGCGGTACACCATTGACTCGTCGTAGTTGAGAAACATATGCAGAGACTCAGGAGAGCCGGAATATGCTGGCCGGCCATTTTCGATTCTCCATCGCGACTGCAGAGTCGCCTCAAGCTCAGCAATTGGTGTACCAAAAGCGGGACTTTTCCCTGTTCGTAATTCAATCGCAGCCCTCAGAGTAGCCGGGGAAGTCAACACCTCCTGCCAGAATTTGGAGACCTGAGGCTCGTTAGTAAGGTGTTCTAAAGTTGGTCAGGGTAATCTTCATCTTACGGCCCGAAGATTGAAGATGTCATTTATGTCCAGATGCGACGCCACAAGACTTCTCAGCTCTAGAGGCAATTGACCAAAGATGTCTCGTTGGAAATCCCCGGCGGAAATCCGATCTCTCATTTCACGGAGCTCATTTTTGGTGAGCGATTCCACGATTCCATCGAGCCTGATAGTGAGTTAGTGCTGGGGTTTAGGGAATTCTCGCTTTTACATACGCTTTTCGCCGGCTTAGAGTATGGCTGAGGGACTTGAACTGTCCAACGATGGACTGTGCCATGTCTGTTTCCATGGCTCTTTGTTGTGTAGGGAGTTCGTCCCAACCCCCGTTTGTAGATTAGATTCGCTCCCCGCTTCTCTCTTCTTCTTCTTCTTCTTCTTCTTCTTCTTCTTCTCTCTGGTCCTGTAGATCCAACACTCTTCCAGCTTTTTCTGGTAATCGAGTAATCTCAGACTGTCAGACAAGTCGATGTGTCGAAGTAGAAGCAGAGACTAGACAGATGGAATCTCTTTCGATGGAAGAAAAATTCGAGTCAAGAAATGGAAAAGCACGGAGTATAAGGGGAGATGGTTGAAGTTGATAGCTTCGACGGGTGCCGCGGGGAGAGAACGGAGTACCCGGCCTACTCACCTTTATCAATTTTACCTCACATTAGAATTCAACATCTAGACATTTACTCCAATATTCCGTACAGAGTACGGAGTACCAAATCACAAAATTCTGGGCCAGATCGCTTCTTCCGCACTGCAGTGCTGAATAGAGGCAGCTGTAGGATAGTGAATATCCCCCTGTTATCTCTCGATTCCGCTATATTTACAAAATAGAGGCTGATTCCACTGCCTATGCTCATTCTCTGTCACTTTCTCTTCCTGTCTCTGCCTAGCTCTCTGCCTTGCTGTCTCTGCCTTGCTGTCTCTGCCTTGCTGTCTCTGCCTAGTAACACTCAGACACATACTACAGTCGAACAAGAAGTTGGCAAAGCCGAATGCAAGCGCCACTTACCGCTAGTATTTAATTTAGTAATCTTACCCCAGATTACACAGCTTAATGAGAAATTTTATTTGGATGAATACCATACAATACACCGCCCTAGTCGCTGTCCGACTGTAGGTCAGTCTCAGCAAGACGTCCTGCGGGCTTCCAATTTTCGTTGAAACTTCCAACATAGATAGGTCCGTGATCCGATCCCGTCAGCTCTAGCACAAAGAACTCGTCGTCTCCTCTCCATTTGACAAACTCCTCCTCACGATGGTAATATGGAATCCTTGGATAACTGCCACGATCAAGAGTCTGGTATTTGTCGAAACGATACAACGCAATCCCAGGAAGCGGGGACGAGACATCGAATCTTCCAGAGGCAAGCGTCAGTCTGTCTCCACAGCGAGAATACATGATATTCTGATCCGCAATAAAATCATTCACGAGATTAGGATTAGGGCCATCCCAGTGTGAATCCTTCTCGGGGGTCCAATATGCAGCGATGGTGTCGTCATCGTCTCGTGTGAATCACAGAATGGAGCTTTTTCGATGGTAATCATCCTCCGCGAATCCGTCCTCCTGGTATAGTATGTCCTTCTTATATAGTATGTCCTTCTTATATAGTATGTCCTTCTTATATAGTATGTCCTTCTTATATAGTATGTCCTTCTTATATAGTATGTCCTTCTTATATAGTATGTCCTTCTTATATAG